ACTCCTGAAGAGGCTTCCTCATTAGACCAACTGCGAATAATTAACAGTCATTACCCAAATGAAAACTGTGAGAGATGCAGTGGGGGTTGCGAGTCCGGATACTACATATATATTTTTTAAAAGGGTCCCCATAAAAATACTATTTTTTAATTTCTTAGGCACAACATTTTTAATTATAAACAAAATGCATTTTCAATATAGAAAAATAAAATTGCCAAAGAGTTTAAATTGCTCTATCAAACTCCAGTGTGCGTTGCATTGGGCTAATTTGATTGAAAGTTTTCGGATCAAGTTTGTGTGGGTAGTCTTACATATGCCGCAAATTTGAGGCCACATCAAAGGAAAAGTTGATGCAAATATATGCCCCGAAGTGAGACCAGAAACCCAGACCGAGCCAAACTCGCAGCCCGACCAATCCATTCAAATGTAAGCAAAGTGGAAAAGAGAGAGACTCGAGTCGCAGATGAATTTGTTTGTTCACATTTTGGGGCTGCATTATTGGATATCTCAGCTCGAACTTAACTAATTTTAAAGTTTTCCAAATGAGAGATCTCTGTGTGTGCGGCAAGTTCTGCAAAAGTTTCCCCAGCTCGTGGAATTAGTTGCAATTTTCAGCATCTGGGGAAGATTTTACATTTACTTGGGCAGGGAAATCGGTGAGTATTACGGGGGACTGGAAATTGTCTACAGCTGCTTGTGGTTGGGCTTCATCATCCCATTCGCCATCGCAGTCATCATCCTGTTCGTCGTCATCAGCGTTGACACTTTAAAGTTTTGCAAGAATTTACCGGAGCGAGTTCACGACTGGGTAAACAATTTGCAAGCCATTCGAAATTAAATTTCAAGTAATTGATATTTAAAAATTGTTTACAGTTCAAGTTGTTTTATTCATGGCGACGTGGAGGTGTTCAACATTCAGAAACAAGAAAAGTTAAGGCCTTTTGACATTTGCATGTTTTTAACTAACTAACAAGATTTATTTTAAAAAGTGAAGGCAACCTAAATATGATGCAAGATATAGTTCATACAATGCACGCAAGTGTTATAAGCCCTTAAGTCCTTTGATGACAGATTTATTTACGAGACCAGCATGGATATTACTAAGAATGAGAACTTAGACAAAAGTAATATTCCTAAGGGTATCATATAGGAAAGTAAATGCAATAAAACCTGTATGACTAATATTAAAAGTAGTTTTTCAACGGAAAAGTTTTGGTTAAAGTTTGTTTTGTTAGGTTTATTCTCTCCTTATTTAAGATGAACTACGTATTAAATTGGCCATATGACACTTGCTTTAGTTTTGCGCTATCAATTTAAATACGAACTTATTTGCTACATTTTCCTTAGATGTCATATATATTTATCATATCGAAAACAATGTAACTACAAACCATATAACCCTATCGAGCAATTATAAAAGAGCATTCCAACTTCTTGTATTCTAGAAACCCGATACCCACTCAACCCACTTGTAACCTATACCTTTGCTTTATTGCAGTCAAAAGTTCAGCGTTCTTTTCGCACTTCTTGTGGCAACTTACGTGGCTTCCCCTGGACCTGTTACACATGATGCCGGGAAGATTGCCAGTTAACCAAGTTAACAAATCCACCCCAAAGGTTCGGTTTCTTTTGTTCGCCGCCGACTCGCTTACCTCATGTTGTTGATTACACTTCGGACGGTCATAAATTTGTATCAGCGAGCGGGGAAACTCATGCAGCAAGTTGGGAAGCTGTATAAAAAGGAAAACTCCGCTGGAGGGTGGAAAAGTTTTTATTTTACCTCGGCGAGTTCGAGTGAAACTTGAGTGCAGTGTGGAGCTGTAGCTGTTAAAAAAATAAAGAGAGAAACTAGATTCGTGCTTGAATTTTCATTAACTGCTTGTTTATCGAATTGAAATTTGAGCCGTTCGAGGGTCGCCCAAAACTCAAATGAAAAGATACAGAGAGTGATACAAAATAAATTCATATAGAAGGGGGCTGGCTGGGAATACACCTAGTCCTCCTCCTTATTTTCCTCCTTACTCCCTTCCAGCTGCCCGTTCTTCTGTATCATATCTTTGATTAACTGTTGGGTCTTGAACTTGAACACTTGATCTCGGGTTTGGTTGACTATTGTGAGCAGATCCTCAAAAGCATTATCTGAGTTGGCCAGATAACTGCCGAATTCTTCTTCCGTTCGAAGATCACGGAAATCGCGCACTAGGTTCTCCATGTAATCCATCAAAACTACGTGTTGTTCGGCCACCTCTCTGAGTTCCAAGGGCTCCTGTGGCATATTAATGGTGTGGTTAAAGTTTGTATCGGAACTGGTATTGTGCTGAATATATGAACTGGTTTCCTCGGAAGATATGGTGATATGCTGGTTGTCTTCGTAGTCGAACTGCTCCTCCTCCTCTTCGGCAAACATTTCTGGCTCGGATTCGTCGTTGAGATCGGGGGACTTCTCTTCAGTCCCACCTGGATTCTGTAAGGCATCGTCTTCCTTGGCTATTAGCTCCTTGACCCTATCCGCATAACGTAGGGTATTTAGGGTATGCTCCACACAACTCATGGATGGTGATATCATGGCAATCATACAGGTCTTGTTCTTCTTTCCTCCCACAAAAGAGTCGCGGAGGACTTGGGTCAATTTGGATCCACGGAAAGGAAGGTGGCTCGACTGGCGACTCAAGGCCCGAATGCACTCTTTGAGGGCCAGCAGGGATTTGTTGATCTCGGCTCCCTCGATGCGGGTTTGGCGGTCCGCAGACTGCGTATCCGCCCCGCGTTCATTGCCAGCCAGGTCCACAAAGGAGCACTTGCCATAGGGACCCCAGGAGTTGGGCATGTGTAGAGCTATTTGAAAGACGGCATGTGAACGCGAAGACTTGGCATTTGCTGAAGTTTGTCCCGAAGTACGCTCCTTGCTACCATGTTCAATCAGACGGAGGACATCCTCCACCTTGGTCACCGTGATCTCTGTAAGACCCACCACCACCACCTGCTGTCTGCCATCCTCCAGAACCCTTAGCATGGGCTTATTTGGCAGCAGAAGATCAAAAACCTTGCTGCCATAGATCTCAAAGAAGCTGCAAGTGATCTTGGCTCCAATTTCCCGGTACTCAGGACGGGAAATCTCCTCGAAGACATCGCGAGCTGCCATGGCGTAGATGCCAGTTCCGCAATCCTGAATCTTTCCGAAGAACTCCCCGCCCATGGTGTGGGTCTTGCCACTGCCAGTCTGTCCATAGGCAAAGCAGGTTGCATTACCACCTTCGAACATGGTTCTGATCAGAGGACGAGCAGTGTGATCGTAGACCAGCGCATTGGAGCACTCCTCGTCGAAGGTGAAATCAAAACGGAACTTGTGGTGCTCCAGGAACTTGGTCAGGTCCACCTTGAGGCGCAGTTCGTGGACAATCAGGGAATCGGAAGTGGGAATTGTGATGATATCCATGTTCTTTGAGTTCTCCTCCTTGCGACTCATGGGTCTCTTGCGCACACAAACTGTGATTTGCTGGGCCGCAGCTCCACGGGGATTCAGACTGCGGAGTGGGGTGAAGTTTAGGGTTCCGCGGTACTGACGCAGCATCAGGGCCACCTCCCAGTTGGGATTCCCCGGGTCCTTGCGACGCAGTGCATCCTTCTCCTGCAGCTGCTCCACCTGGCGAGCCCTGCGCTTCTCCCGCTCGTCCTTCATGCGATTCACCTCCCTAACGACACTTGAACATCTCTGATTGTTGTTATTGGAGCCCTGAGATCTGCGATTCTGGATGGGACTGGTGCTACGCGGCTTACAGGGGACCAGTCGAGAGGTATAAGGTCCACCCTGATCACGATTTACTATTGGACCTGGAGGATTATTCTCCGTTTTTGTGGTAGGGAGCTTACTGCGAAAATCCATAGCTCTCATGCGCTCTGCATAGGGATTTGCTGTTCCGGTTCCGCCCGACGGCTTCCTTTGCGAGTCCTGACGTCCTCCAGAGGGACTCACATCCCTGGGCTTGGGAATCAAGGAGCCCGTTGGAGGTTGATTCTCCGCGAAAATATGACGATTAATCCCAATCAGCATACTGATGGGCACCTCCTTGCCCTTCACCACCGCTCCCTCGGTCCATTCCCCGGTCACCGAGTCGAGTTCCGGATTCTTGCCCGTGCAAACCACCGGATGGACACGTCCGTCACTCCGCTGGAAAAACAACTGTTCGCCAATCTGAATGCGATCCATGTTTTTGGTGGTGGCAACGGCTCAAGCCAACAGTTTACAAAATATGTACTATTTCCCGATTTTTTTTTGTTAGCATATATATTTTTCTAATTTTCCGTTCCACAAGTCAACAATATTTCTTCGACCAGGTATGTTGCCTCTGTAATTTACTTGCGAGTGTGAGGTTTGATAAGCTAATAAAAAGGTTGTATTCATAGAACTAACCTTAAAATCAACGCCTACTTTAACAGTTTTGTTTTTTTTGAGACACGTGAGGTTGAAAAAAAAACACATGTGAGCCATACATTGTAAAGGTTACAGAAATAAAACTATAACGCAGTGAAGGAGACGTTTCCGACCCCACACATATTAACTTCTACTCGTATTACATTTTGAATAAATCGGACGGCTTTATCATATAAATGTCATGAAACAAATAATTAATAGAAACATAATTTGAATTGAAATAATTATAGTTTCGTTATTTTTGACCATATCCTCTTCTACTTCAGTGTATTGTATTTTTTAAATATTTCAGAATAACGAATTAAATTTTATAAGAACCGGACCAATTACGAAATATCCATATAAAATGTTGCTTCATGCATTGACCAAATTAAAAGCAACATCACAATTAAATTCGTAGTAAAACTGTTTTATTTTTTTCATGTCTTTGGGACTTTAAAAATACAATTTCAAATTGTAGATGAACTAGTTCTGTGAACTCAACATTTTTGGTAAATGCGATCTATCGATAGAACTGAACAGTGCTCAGCAACGCATCACTAAATGTCAACGTGCTTAGTGCCATTTAATCAAATTTCCTTTTCATTTTTGGTGTCGACCGATTCAGTTCGCTTATCTGAAAGCTATTTTCTCAGATTTCTTTTCGAAGAAAGAAGAAAGGTAAAGCTCTTGTTTAACTCTTTATCATTTGCTAAAAGTGTTTTTCCACAGCTTCTTAACCATGTAGCCCAGGAACGCCAACGAACCCACCATTTTTCGTTTTACATAGGCAAATAAACGCCATGTCATCGTGTGTTTGATAATGTTCGTAGTTTCGGGAACGATGTCGATATGGGACTTGGACAAAGTGGTCGCGGAGGAGTTAGTACACTTGATACTGGGCTTCACTGGGCAGGAAACATCTTGTGGAGCCACTGGAACACACTACTGACTATATTGGCCGTCATCTGGAGCCATTCGATGTACTGAAATTGAGATACAAGAAAGGTAGCTGACTTCGGCAAGCCGAAGTTTATACACCCTTGCCAGGTTATCCCTATGGGATCAAAGAACTTTCTGATTTAAGAAAACTAAAAAATGATTACAGAAATATTTAGAAAATGTTAAATTTTAATTTACCAGCCAACCAATTTACCAAATATTTTTTCGACCCTTCCTGTATGATATTGTAGTCAGATTCTTATTAAAATAAATTCGTATTCGAACTAAAAAAAATGTATACCGGAGTAGAAGAGAATACGATCAAATAAAGCCGAAAGCCTCAGCAGCTATGACTTTCATCCCTTCCTGTAGCTCAATTTCAATAGGTAAGCCTACAGTGTACAAATAAATAAATGATCAAATGAGGTTCTCTAATCCTAGTGTTCATAAGTACAATGCTATCCTTCTTCCAAGAAGTATGGTTTTGGTGCAAAGGCAGCAAAGCCTCTTTCGCTAGATTGTCAACACATTACCCCATTTACAATCGACTGGATAATCCTTCACAGTCAAATAAACTAACATCATTTCTCCATTTCAGTAAATCGAATGGCTGCAAATGACGGCCAAGACGATCCGGACCTCGGAGCTAGTAGAGGAGCATAATTTAGCGCCAAGATCATAAAATCTAGTAAGATTCCGAGTGTCAGTAGGGTGCTCCAGTTACTCCACGAGAAGTTTCCTGCCCACTGAATCGCTAGCAAGTTTACTATCTCCTCTGCGACCACGTTGTCTACATCCCATATCTACATAGCTCCCGAAACTAGGAACATCATCAAACATACGGAGATATGGCGTTTGTTTGCCCATATGAAACGAATTATGGTCGGTTCGTTGACGATCCTGGGCGGCATGGGTAGTCAAGGGATTCGCCCTGATGCTACCACCCAGCACAGTCCCAGAGGAAGATGGCCTGTTTGTCGGCATCCTCAGACAGTAGTCGAACCATATTCTGGCCCTGATCGGACATGGATGCCCCACCATCAATCGCCAGGACTACAAAGGATCCTTCAAGAGAGTCTAAATGGCAGGCCCTCGAGTTCCCGCGGATGATCTGGACAATGCCCGTCGCACCTCTGAGAAGGCTATGAAGCACAACAGTCGGAATGCCTTTTCTTAAATGGCCATTCTGAAGCTAAGTCAACGCCACCCACATCGTTATAGAGAGGGTATAAGTCTCCCCAACGCGTCCTTTCAAATTGATGAACGGCATCCGGCAGTTCCACTTGCCACTTATTCCTTTGGCGATCACTGAGACTGTTACTCTAAAAAAAAGCAAAAAATCACTAAATAATTTTAAATATACAAATTAAACAAATTCCTTTCTTGTCGCACTATAAATATTTAGACCCTTTTTTTAACTGGGTTACAACTTTCCATCTAAACGTACTTTAGTCTAGGTTTTTAAGGGGTCCTTATTCCCTGTTTATAAAACGCATTTTCCTTAATATACTTTATTCGACGTTGAAGCTTGTTTAGGTATAACCAGAATATTATAAGTCATGATTCCCAAAACTGTGTAAACCTTAAACTCGTTTTCATGAAAACAATGTATTTTCGGTTAGCGGGTAAAAGTTTAGTAATAACCTAGTAAAAATGAACAGAATAAGCAGGCTAGTCTAAAGATTTTAATTATCATTGAAGGATTTTGGTAGGCCACTCGGTTTTCTTCATTCAGGGAACTACTTGGTTCGGGCTACTCAAAGTTAAAGCGCTTCCTTAAAGTTGGTTTAGGTGGGTCTACGAACAATTTTATGGTTAACATGCTTGGGGTGTCGGCTCGTAAATTCCTGGCTTGCCGGGTTTTGGGTTAGCAGCTTCTTTTGATATATGGCCCTTGCTCCGTTACGGGTTAGTACTTTTCAAATTAGATTTGGCACCCATCCCTTCGCGTCCTTTGTGTGGGCATGTCATAAAGCGAAACGAAGGACCTTTCTGTATTTACACAAGCGTGCGCATTCCACAAATAAATAGCTGAGGCAGCTCTCTCGTTTTGTAGTCTAGACTTGTGATTGGAGGACAATTAAAATACACCTCGGAGACCCTTAGAGGGATCAAACGACATGCTGTTCGCAGTCAGTCAGGTGTAAAAACTAATTTGCGGCAGAGTTCGCAGCATAGTTCCAATTCCGAGAACCGCAAACGAAACCTCAAGGTGAAAAGTTCAGGGTACACTGCACCCAGAGTGTGTGACTATCATGCTGGCTGGTCCAGTTTTCCTATCAGTTACTGGGTCAGCACTGGGTATGTGGACCATAAATCTCATGGCTGCTGCAATCAGGGCCTGCAATCGCAATCTGCATCTGAAATCAGCGAGCAGTGCCAACTTGTCAGGGCCGAATAGATAGCGACCAAACTGGAAATGGCGTCAAGGGCGCCATAAATGAGAATTTCCGTTTCATTTCCGTCCGTTTGTTTGTGTTTGGCTGTGCGGTTCATTTGTGGCCCATAATGAGCAGGGAAAGCTGGGAAAGCGCCGTGGCTCTGTATCGATTTTCATTTAAAGTGCCTGCCAGTGGACCACCTAATGGCATTTGCCGTCCCGAATTTATGGCAACTTGACCTCGGCCATTTGTCAGCATTAGAACACAATTGGATAACATGGCCGCTGCAGTCAAGGGCATCATAAATGGGTAGCTGCCAATAGACGTATGGCTGCTTTGGCCAGAAGCAAGTAAGCCTAAGCCCACAATTCAATTAAATACAGCCTTAGCCTCGGGAAATTCCAACCGGTCCCGGCGAATATTTATGGCAACTCGAGGTGGAGAAAAAGACACATAAATTTGTTTCCGCCCGACGCGATAAGCGGCAAAACATGTTGATACAGAGGCGAAATAAAATATGTCGCCTGAATGGAGACCAGGATGCAAAGCCCGAAGATTTATGCCCAAATAATCGCTGGCGGCCATAAATTATAGCCAGCAGCTAGACAAAAATCTCCGATTCATCGATTTTCCATCGAGCTGTCAGTCACAAACAACACTTTGTTCTACCGAAACATGTTATAAAACACACACGAGTCACCCCACACACATTTAATAAAATCAGGAAATAGCGCGGTAAATTTAGCAGGATGTTCTCAGGACGAATCCCCATGATGCAGCACACTCGCAGGGGCACAGTGCCCATGACTGAGGAGCAGCGGTATGGTGGTTCCGTTGGAATGCAAGGATATATCTAAAATCACGATTCTCCAATTGCAGCAGTATGAAGTCCGAGTCCCAAAACGACTCAATCAAGTCGTCTGAGTGCAGGATGCGATTGATTTCTCGGTGAGAAAATATTATAATCCCTAATGATATATTATGAAAGATTGAATCTTGAAGCTTAACTTAAAATGTACATAAACTGAATCTGTCTGTACGATGTTTGGTCATCTTTGTTGAACATTTTTAAACAACTCAAGATCTCCTACTTATCCGAAGCAATGGTTTCCTCGTTTTATCCTTGCCTATTTATATCACCTTAGCACCTGGATGCTCCTGCTGGACTACAAGCAGTATAAGGCAGCTCGAACCATCCAATCAACTTGGCGAGGATACTTCTACCGGAAGATGTTCGAGGACAGAAGAAAGGCGGCCATTACAATCCAGCGGTGGTGGCGTGGGTTCTCGGTCAGAAACAATCACTACAGCTTTGTGGAGAATATGCTGCAGAAACGCCTGGTGGACCACTACCACAGATCGGCCACCAAGATCCAGGCTCTGTTCCGCGGCTGGTGGAGTCGCCACACCATCCATGACAACAGCAAGTTGCTCAGGTTGCAAGTCTGCGCCGCCGAGGATCTCCTGAATTGCGTGGCCTTCAAGTTGCACCACCTGCTTCGCACCTACGCCATTCCCGGGGTCTATTCGCTGAAGAACTCCAAGTATGACTATAATTTTTGATTCTATATAGTATTTACTAATTATAATTTAAACTTCCCCAACAGCTGCTTGTCGCGAGTAGAGAAACTGCTGGCGAGCCTGCATTTTCGGTTTCACAATGGCAAGGAGAAGTTGCAAATTGCAAAAAATCAGGCCGATAGAAAGAAGGATCAACAAACTTATAAGAAAAGTGAAAGGCTCAGTGATGTTCCGTTCAGAGGAGCACGATACTGGAGCCAATGCAGACCAAAGTGCGAGGCAGCCCTCAAATTGTCCAAGGATATTGACAAGCGCATGTTCAGGATCATTGAAATGTACGATGCTTCGCAAAGGGATGCGCAAGCGGTGTTGGCCCAAAAGAATTTGGCATACAGTAACTATATTTGGAAACTATATTCAAAATTTCAGTTTTTTAAACGACTTTTTTATAATTTATTTTACAGAAAAACAGAAAAAGCTAATGAATAACATAAAGAAGTCGGCTGAGAGAAACAAGCGCGACTTTTGCGGCGATGTGATTGCCAGCATGCGCCGCTGGAAAATCCTGGTGGACAACAACTTGAATGTGGACAAAAACATTTTTAAAAAACCAGAAAATCTAGAGAAGTTCCTCGCCGAAATATCTCCTTTTGGGAAAGAGTTTGAGAACTGCACCTGCTATTGCCGTATTCCCGTATTAACAGAAATCTATTGCGGCTAAACACTTTACAATACAATCTGTAAACCACTATGAAGTTTTTTATTAATAAAACAACTACGTAAAGAATTTGATCACTAAACAATTTTATTTGCAATTGGGTGAATACTCTGAGCTTTATAGAACTACTTTTTAGCTGAAAATTGCGTTGAATATATCGACTGAAAATTAAATATTTTTAGACGTTAAATTCTGGAATGGATTCTTTTCTCTCACCAAAAACATTGCCGAAAAATCGGAGCAGTGCGGTGACGAATGAGGGTCTTTGCGTGTCGGTCCAGCTATCGGTCATGTGATCTATTGCCAGATTTTATTAATATTTTGGTAATCTCCTGCTTCTGGACTTTTCTTACCCAAATGCTCGCAATCTAACCGCTCGTTGTTCAAGTTAAAGTTTATATCGCCGCCTATGGGCGGGGCCACAGACTGATCGATCTCCGAAATGTCTGGATCCGCCATGGTTAACTTTGAATTTTATCTTAAATCAATGAAGTTTCCTGTTTGAAGATTCTGCACAACTCAAAATTTAGAATAAAATTTCTTTAATTTATTTTATCGCCCGATTGGCACAGTTATGATTTTGATTTTGGAATACTGGATGATGAAAATAAGAAAGGTGAAGCATAGATTACTTGTTATGGGGTTTCTTGTTATTTGAGGAACAAATTTAGATTACTTTCAGAAAAGTATAAAAAGTTTGGCTGTTATTTAATTATGAAATAGATTTCTAATAAGTTCCAAATAAGATATAATGATTGCCTCGACTATCAGTTCTCCGTTACTTATTTAACCGATTTTAAACTAAATACTCCTAATCGTATTGATTTTAAATTAAAACCCTGCCATTGTCATAAAACATGCTAATCATCAAATAGTAAAGGTTTATCAATAAATATATTTATTATATATTTTGGTAACTTTTTAATGACTATAAGAAACATTTTTGTATTGCAAAAAATAAAACAGGTTACCCTAAGTAAATCATGTTTTTAATTCAACTACGTTGGACCCCCTTTAGGAAACTATAAAGGCGATAACCACTCACCTTATTTCAATATCTAAGCAACCCTCTTAAAAGATTTTACTCATCCCTATTTCTACTTGTCAAAGAAAAATCAGTGTTCTTTTGGAAGTGAAAGTGATTAGGTGCTAACGAAGAAAATGGAAGAAACTCTCGTGCTGAAGGACATTTCTCCCAATTTGGAGGGAATGCAACTGCACACTTGCATTCAAAAAGCGGTGAGTTCTCAAGTTAGATACACAAATTGAAAAGGAACTATGTACATATTCCCTAGCTGACTTGGCACACCAATAGTAAAAGGGAGACCATTGCGAAGCTCCTGGAGGAAGGCATTACAAAATGTACAACTCCATACGAGTCCTATAAAGAGGATCTGATCAGGGCAAATATCCTGCTGGCGGCCTGTTTCACCAACATTGCCTACAAAGAGCAGGGCAAGCTGCGCAGGGCCCTACAGGCCAAGCTTGTAAATATTTTCAAGGCACTGGAGGACTACAACGGATCCGGGGATCCTAACCTTCGGGTAATCAAGGGATTCGCCCTGATGCTATCACCCAGCACAGCCCCAGTGGCAGATGCGCTGCTTATCGACATTCTCCGACAGAAGTCCAACCATATTCCGGCCCTGATTGGACGTGGGTGCTTGGCCTTCAATCGCCAGGACTACATAGGATCCCTGGGATACTTCAAGAGTGTCCTGATGACAGATCCTGGAGGACCCGCGGATGTTCGCGTAGGGATTGCCCACTGTTTTTGGAAGATGGGTGATCTGAAAAGTGCCCGTCTTTCCTTTGAGATTGCTCTCGAGCACAACAGCACATGCCAAATTGCGCTACTTGGTAAGGCCATCTTAAATCTGAATGAGCGCGACCCAAAACTTTACAAGGAGGGTATAAATCTCCTCAGCGTGGCCTTCGACATTAACAAGCGACACCCAGTAGCTCTAAGTATTCTGGCTACGTATTACTATTCCATTGGCGATCATGAAATGGCGCTGAGATTGGCTGGAAATGCCATTGGATTCACTGACATCCCGCAACTGAAATCTCACAGTTTCTACCAGGTGGCCAGGAGTCAACATGCCATTGGGGAATACGAGTATGCCAGGATGTACTACCAGAGTGCCGTGGATTCCGCACCGGAAGGCTATGTGCTGCCCCAACTGGGACTCGCCCAAATGTACCTGAGGGAAGGTGAATCCGACAAGGCCAAGATCTGCCTGGAAACATTCCTCAAGTCTCTGCCAAACGAATCGACTGCAATGCGGCTATTGGCCAGAATTTATATAGATGAAAGGTCCCCAGGACAAATAGAAAAGGCTATTGCAATGTTGATTAAAGTGGTGGAGAAGCCATCGGGTCGCCAGGATTGGGATAGCTGGCTAAATCTGGCCCTGGCCTATCAGCAGAATGGGCTCTGGAACTCGGCCACCAATGCATATGAAAAGGCTATTGCAATATACATGGATCAGGGACTCCAGATCCCTGTCGTGTGGCTAAACAACCAGGCGGTCAGCCAGATGTCGGCCAAAGAGCCAAAAAAGGCCTTCCTGACCCTTAACGAGGCGTTTACCAAAATGAAAAGTCAAGGGGATAACCCTCACAATAGTACTATCTACCTCACAATGAGGTACAACTACGCTAGGGTTCTGGAGGCCCGTAGAATGTACGACTTGGCTCAGACGCTCTATGAGAATATCATCGCCAGCTATCCAAACTACCACGACTGTCACTTGAGACTGGGCCTGATGGCGATGCAGTTGGGTAAGCTGAACAAAGCCTTGGAGCACTTCAAGGAAGTCCTGGCAATAGAACACGACAATATTGGGGCCAGGTGAGTTCCAAGCCAGTTTAAGTTAAATTAGATCTTAAATAATATATGTTTGTAATGCATTCTGTAGGACCTACCTGGGAGACTGCTATATGATGCTGAGTCTTAGCAAACAGTCCATATACAACTACGGTGTGATACTGCGTAGCCCTGGAAACACCCAAGACAGCTACGGCTTGGTGGCCCTGGGAAACATCTACCTGAAAAAATGTCAGAACAGCGTGACGAAGGGAGACTTATCGTCAGCCCAAAGAAATCAGGAAATTGCCTTAAACTACTACACGAGGGTAAGATCAGCATATCACATTCTGTGCCCCATAAACATTAAAAATAATGTGTACATAATGAACAAATGAACCCAAAGCATGGCCCACTTAATATTTAATTATGCATTTTTAGGTTCTCCAACGCTGTCCCAGAAACGTTTGGGCAGCCAATGGAATAGGAGCTGCCTTAAGTACCTTAAACCATCTCTCCGAGGGTGAGGCCGTCTTTAAGCAGATTCTCGAGGCTGGGAACGAGTGCCCCGCTGCCCTCCTGAATTCGGCTCACGTAGCCCTGGAACTTGGCCAATTCAAGCTGGCCAGTCAGACCTACAAGCTGTGCCTGAAGGACCATCTACCGGAGAACTGTGTGGAGGTCATGCACTACCTAGCCAGATCTCTGTATGGGGAGGGAAACTCCGGCGAAGCCAAGATGTGGCTGCTCAGGGCCCGCCACTTGGCCCCTCAGGATCCGCTTTTGATGTTCAATCTGGGTCTGACCATTAAGAAGGAAACCAGAGATCTCGTAGCCCTGCCAAAACCGGAGTGTGATGATCTCAACAGATCTGAACTGGAGCTGAAAGTGGCCTCTAAGTGAGTCTGAAGAAAGCCTTACCATCGTTATAGCTGATCAATAATATGTACTTCCAGATATTTTTCCTACATTCATCAAAAACAACCTATCGTCCCGGCACGTTCTTCTGCCAAAGCATCCGACGATTGCCAGGTCTTGATGGGGAAATTAAAAGACCATCTCGAACACGTGCGTAATATGAAGCTATTGGATGAGCAGCGCATCCGCTTGCGGGAGCAACGGATCCACGAGCACCAGCGGAACCAGGAGAAGCAGCGTCTGAAGTGGCTGGAGGATGATCGAGTCCTCCGGGAGAACCGGATGGCAAGGCGGAGGGAGGACTTGGAACGCACCAGGAAATTTGTGAATGCCCCTCTGCAGCCTGAAGTCCCTAAAAAGGATTCCAGCGAGGGCAAGGGAAGCGGCAGGAAAAATCCGCGGGATGCAGGGAAAGACGGAGATCAGGAGAAGAGTCAACAAAAGTCAAGAGCCAAAAAATCTATCAAAAGGGCTGCAAATGCAGAATTGGACAAAGGTGTGACCAAGAAACCAAAGTCAAAAGAATTTATAAGTACTGATGATGACAGTGATTCGGAAGAAGGCAAAAAGAAATCATAAAGCCAATTTAGCCAACAGATTCAACAAAAAAGGTTTAAATTTTTCCAATAAACTTCAACCATTTTTTAACTGAACTATAATTTCTTCATCTTTACAATATTGTTTATATATATACATTATTCTCCTACCTGTTTCATACTTTCCGACGAATACAATATACCCTTTTACTCTGCGAGTTACGGCTACATTAAAAAGTGGTCTTAAATGAAAAGGTCCACACAAAACAAAATCCTGTAAAAAGTCATTAAACCACACAATAAATTCAGTTGCATCACATAAAAATTTCGAAAAACAAAGGTAATATCAGGTGTGCGCGCTTAGAGACACGAAACATGCAGTTTACTCCTCGAAACTTTTACCTTCTGACACAGCTGCGAATTACGAGCCAAGTGCACGATTTATGCCGTAAACTTTTCAAGGCGAAAAACATTAGGCATCCGGAGAGCAAACATGCAAATACCGAATGGAAACGCCGGATGTGAGGGGGGATTTTCTCGGAACCTGTCCCTGAACGAGCATAAATTAAGAGGCCAGTTGCTGTTGCTTTTAATTAGACACTAAAACCCGGCCTCGCCCGTCCAAAGGCCAATGTCCAATGGTCAATGGTCAGGGCTTCTCCTTCTGGCCAGGACATCAAAACCGAGCTCGGCTCAGCAGGAGGCCTTGGTAATTGTACCATCGCCATCGTCATCGCCATCGCCATCTCCATAATAATCACCATCCTCAGATATGCAATTAGAGGACAAACGAAAAATGTGTCTTGGTCAGACGCTGTCATCGCTGCCCTGGGACAAATACATATTTCCCAGACTCAGAAGTATATATATTATATGTACAATGAAATTAACCATATTCATCAAGCCCACAACTAAATGCAACATTTTCGGCCGCTAATGACGAGCCGTTGTCGCCGACTTGAATGACAACTTGTATTGCCCCGGGGCCAGGTTCTTTATCACTCGGTTAATTACTTATGGAGATGCCGTCCCCAGATCTTTTGTGGTCACTTTCCACTGGGCCCTGGACGTCCTTGGATGCCGTTCTCCTCTGGCAACGAATTTCGTTTATCTTGCGGTTGACATGTCAGGTCTTTTGACATGTTCCACTGGCATTATTATAATGAACCTCATTCTAACCAACAGGTATGAGTCAGTTTTGCTTTGGTCTTGAATTCAAATGTATTTTAGAAGAGTATCTAAAAATTCAAATTATGGTATCTTAATAATTGGTTAGCATATTACTAAATGTATCTTATTAAAATGTTAAAACTAAATACATTTTTAGGTATCATTGTTAGCAATAAATAATGTTAAATTGATATTGAGAAATGTAAAAATGTATTAGTTTAATAACTTTGTTACTCCTGAATTAAACATATAACCAGTCATTTTAAAAATTTATTAATGTAAATATGATACCTAATGTAACTATTAATTTAATCAATTAATTTATAAATTAAGCCTTAAATTTCATGCAGATATCAAACTTATAATACCCACATCAATCCTAAAAGCAAATACAGCTGAAAAAGGGGCTGCAAAAAATTAGACTATTTTAAGCTTATTAAAACTTTCCAACTAATTTATAAAAACATTTGGCACAGCTAACGAAACTTTTTCGCTTGCTGTTGTTTTTTCTCTCTCGGTTTTCGGGGAAAATCTCAAGCCGCTTTTCCAAACATTAGGAAAGCAGGCGAGCGAGGGGGTTGGGCTAAACCTTCGAAATGATGTAACCACACCAAAATGGATTCCTAAAAATAAAAGTTGCATTGCCAACCATTTCACTTTCAGTTCAGTTTTAATGCATTGTGTGTGGTCCGTGGGCTGCAAATATTTCGGGTTTTTCCGCCTGTTGATTAAATGTGTTAAGAGCCAAGAGTTGTCCAACTTTCAGCTGGCCAAGATAAATAGTTTGGACAGTTTGTTCGGCCTTGCCTAATTTATAAGCAATTTATGTTTAGTTGTCGTGACGAATCTGTTGGCCAATTTATAGAAATTTGATCATAATAGCAATTGCTAAAATTGAAACATTTAATGGCCTGGTTTCTGATGAGCTTTTCCCCGGCACTCGCATGTGTCTGTGACCCTTTTCATAGGGCGGACTTGGGAGGAGGGTCTGCTGAAACCGCAACACAAGGCGTTTCGAATGTTTCCTTTCAAATTAATTAGAAGTTTGCGGTGAGCAAAGCAAAGCGGAGCCAGTTGCCTGCTGGCCCTTTCAGCGTTGGCAGTCATTCATGGACATCATCATCATCATCGGCCTCATTGAAGGCAACCGAGTAGGCCACAAAATGGTTTTGGCCAACAATGAAATCTGAGTTCTAATTGCCGGCGCACAAACATATAATTAACTAAATAATGAGATGAGTGGGGCGAATGGAATGGGGCTGTGTTTGTATCTTAGCCATTTGGCTGCTGTTAACGGCATCCGTAATTACCTTTGATATGCTCAGCCACACGCCCAGGAGTCGGGGTTTTTCAATTAATGTTTGCCAAATGTCTTTCCAGGTACCGCGCTTTGTCTGGCCTTGCAAAAGTTTTTTAATTTATTGGCCATAAATTCAACAACACTCGGCCATCATTGGCACCTGCCCGAAACAGTTAGTAAACATGGCAAATGAACAAATGCACGAACAGCAAGTAAAACATACTTCTTTTGTTCGAGGTTTGAGTTGAATAACATTTATTATAACTTACTTGTCAGGAAGGAACGAACATGTTTATTAGTACATTTTATTTACAAATGCTTACATTTGTTTGAAAACTATTAACTAGTAGTTTAAAATTGGTAGTGAATATATTGTTTAAAATAAAAGCACATTTACGTCTATGTATAAACCATTTCGCTTAAGTATTTGCAATTTTATAACTTCTGTTCTAAATACGTCATTAACCTTCTACCCATTGACTTAATATATCAAAATGGTCAAAAGCAAACCAAGAAAGGCCAAGAAATTAAGGAAAGATGGGTAAGACAGGGTCAGAAAAAGACAAAGAGCAACCGATTAACATTTATTGGGTCCGAACTTTAATTTGCCTTGTTGGCCGGGAAGCTTACCTCTCGCTGGCCTTTTGGCCATTTGACATTCGAACCGTGGCTAGATTTATGGGATGGCCAGTGTCGATTAGTTAGCCATAAATCTCTGGTGTTTGCTTATGGTCAGCAGTTCAGCCGATCGGCTCGGTGACCCCAAATTATATGTTCCAGGCACCAAATTTCCAGGATATCTTAGGCCTTTTTCCTCTTTGACAGCAAACTAATTTACGAGTCATGCCTGGAATACATTTGCCCTGTTTCTCCATCATTGCACCATTAACAGGTTAACTCATTTTAAATGAAATCTGCGCTGAGCGAAATATAAAAGTATATGAACAGCAGGTACGGAAAAGAAAACAGCGCAGGACTACTAATTTGCAAAGTTTTCTCGCTGACTGAACTTTAACCCTGCCGCAGGTGTTAAAAATGATTTGCAAAATGCAAAACTTTTCGTTATAAATTCATAGTCATATATAACTAACAAAATAAGGAGAAGAGGAAGGCCAAACGATTCGCGAAAGAAGTTAAAATTGCTTAAGTTTTATATACATTTTTCGTTTGCTGCAGTGAAATACGCAAAAAGTTTAATCAAACTCCACCAAATCGCCAAACCCTAAATCGTAGTTTAAGCCTCTACGGTGTTGCGTAAATATTTCAAATCAACAGCTGAAAAACAGGTAAGTATGAAAAACGCAACTAAAAATACAATAAATGTGCTTAAATAACTTAGTTTGTAACATTTGCTTATTAAATAATTTAATGATTGTTGCTATTTGATTTTCAAATAGAACGAGGATTTATTTCCCTTACTCGTAGAGCAAAAGGTTATACCGTATTCTTTTTTTTTAACAGATAATGAGAAGTACCCCTTCAAACGGAGAATAAAATACGGTTGGATGAAGAAATCATAACACAATTAAAAAATTGTTTAAATATTTCTAGTGTGACACGAAATTAATACAATTTGTTGTTTGTTTAATTTGTATATTTAAAATGGTTAAGTGATTTTTTGCTTTCTTCAGAGTAACAGTCATCAATGATCGCCAATGGAATAGTAATAGGTAGCAAGAATTCTTAGAACTGTTGGATGCTGTTCATCAATTTGAAAGGCCGCTTTGAGGAGACTTATACCCTTCCTATAATGTTGTGGGTCGAGTTGATTCAGCTGAATGATGGCCATTCCAAGCAAGAATTTCTGACAGCAGCTATTCTCCTCCTTCTAAAAGAAGCGCTGGACACTGTCCAGATCACACATCCTCCAAAACCAGTGGCCTATTAGGGCGGCGCTTAAGGACGCTCTTGAAGAAGCCCAGGGATCCTATGTAGTCCTGGCGATTGGAGGCGAGGCACCCACGTCCGATGAGGGCAAGAATAGGGCTCGACTTCTGTCTGGGGATGCGGTCAAACAGGCCATCTGCCTCTGGAGCTGTGCTGGGTAATAGCATCAGGGCGAATCCCTTGACTACCCATGCCGCCCAGGATCGTCCACGAACCGACCATAATTCGTTTCATATGGGCAAACAAACGTCATATCTCCGTATGTTTGATGAAGTTCCTAGTTTCGGGAGCGATGTTCATATGGGATTTAGACAACGTGGTCGCAGAGGAGATAGTAAACTTGCTAGCGATTCAGTGGGCAGGAAACATCTCGTGGAGTAACTGGAGCACCCTACTGACACTCGGAATCTTACTAGATTTTATGATCTTGGCGCTAAATTATGCTCCTCTACTAGCTCCGAGGTCCGGATCGTCTTGGCCATCATTTGCAGCCATTCGATTTACTGAAATGGAGAAATGATGTTGGAGGATTATCCAGTCGATTGTAAATGGGGTAATGTGTTGACAATCTAGCGAAAGAGGCTTTGCTGCCTTTGCACCAAAACCATACTTCTTGGAAGAAGGATAGCATTGTACTTATGAACACTAGGATTAGAGAACCTCATTTGATCATTTATTTATTTGTACACTGTAGGCTTACCTATTGAAATTGAGCTACAGGAAGGGATGAAAGTCATAGCTGCTGAGGCTTTCGGCTTTATTTGATCGTATTCTCTTCTACTCCGGTATAAATTTTTTTTTAGTTCGAATACGAATTTATTTTAATAAGAATCTGACTACAAAATCATACAGGAAGGGTCGAAAAAATATTTGGTAAATTGGTTGGCTGGTAAATTAAAATTTAACATTTTCTAAATATTTCTGTAATCATTTTTTAGTTTTCTTAAATCGGAAAGCTCTTTGATCCCATAGGGATAACCTGGCAAGGGTGTATAAACTTCGGCTTGCCGAAGTCAGCTACCTTTCTTGTATCTCAATTTCAGTACATCGAATGGCTCCAGATGACGGCCAATATAGTCAGTAGTGTGTTCCAGTGGCTCCATAAGATGTTTCCTGCCCAGTGAAGCCCAGTATCAAGTGTACTAACTCCTCCGCGACCACTTTGTCCAAGTCCCATATCGACATCGTTCCCGAAACTACGAACATTATCAAACACACGATGACATGGCGTTTATTTGCCTATATAATACGAAAAATGGTAAGTTCGTTGGCGTTCCTGGGCTACATGGTTAAGAAGCTGTGGAAAAACACTTTTAGCAAATGATAAAGAGTTAAGCAAGAGCTTTACCTTTCTTCTTTCTTCGAAAAGAAATCTGAGAAATAGCTTTCAGATAAGCGAACTGAATCGGTCGAGTCCGTAAATGAAAAGGAAATTTGATTAAATGACACTAAGCACGTTGACATTTATTGCTGCGTTGCTGAGCACTGTTCAGTTCTATCGATAAATCGCATTTTCCAAAACTTGTAAGTTCAGAGAACTAGTTCATCTACAATTTTGAATTTTATATTTAAAATACCAAAATACATGAAAACAATAAAGCAGTTTTACTGCCTTGCCTTTCTTCTTTCTTCTTAATATCTCGAGAGTCACCCAATGCTTTCTTCTTAAGAAATCATCAAACCGTAATAATAGGTATGAAATGCTTCTTTGGTTAATAAACGTTTAATATTTGATCAATATCCTGTTCATTGAGCAGTGTTCAATGTAAATGCCAGGGCTGCAGTTTAAAATCACTTGTTTTAAGATACCGCCATTTGCTCTGTTTTAGTTTATCAATATTTACCTGTGTGCCAAAAACGTTCCAAGTTGGTAAGCTGAGTAGAGGGTACATGACAGTCGAGGCATTCGACTGTAGCATTCCCTCTTGATAAATTTAGATATATTTCCTTTGTTTCCCCGAAAAGTATGCCACAGAAAGTGACCATAAGATATTTCATGTAAAAAAATAATACAAATAAGACGTGCGGGAAATAGACAACAAATGTCCCTTTATATGACAACCAAACGGATAATTTTTGATACTCCCACACAATGCAAATAAAAAGAAAAAAAAAAGGGAAAACTAAAAAGCGGAATAGAAAGCGGTATTTACATTCCTCTTTCGGCCAAATGTCATAAATCTTGTACACCTGGTTGTGAATGTGTAAACGCCCACACGCTGGCACAGATAAATTCAGTGCCAAAATATTTAAAGTCTATTTGTTAAGGCCAAGAAGGAAAGGAAAACTGCGGCGAAAAAAGCACGGAAGCCCCACCGAATAAAGCCGGAAAAACCGCCAGAACCACCTGAAAATAAGAAAGAGAGCGCAGCAGTGGTGGCGAAAGAGAGGGCACGAAAACCCCAGAGAAGCCCCCAACAATTTAACAACTGACTTCATGTGAACTAAGCAAACATGCAAGTGTGTGCACACACGGACTCACACGCACACAAATGCAGGAGCGTGGGTGTAAAAAAGAAAAATGACAGGAAAATTGCAGGACTGAGCAAACGCTTTTCCTTTTGTTCTAGGACTGCTCATGCTATTTTCCCTTTGGTCCTTTTGTGCTTTTCTTTATTTTCGGAGTGGTTCAATAAAAATTCGAGCTTTTCAATTAAAAGTAATATTTTTTCGTCTTTGAAGCGTTGTTTTCATTTTATTTTGAATAATAGATTTTGGTTTCCAGCAGACTTCATAACTGCATATTAAAAATTTACAAATGAATTAATAATATATTTACCAACGTGGTAAAGTGTATTTAACTACGATAAATTGCAAATGGTGTATCACTAAAATTGTTCAAATTCCTCAAATTACCATGAACTTTTTGAGCAAGAGCCTGCTTTAAACAAATGATAAAAGTATTTTATGAAGCTAAAAATGAACTTAAATTTTAACATGTAGGTATTTTTTTGGCATTTACATAATGCAAATTGAATTTGATGAACACAAATCTCAATGTAAATGCATAAATACAGTGTCAATAAAAAGTTAGTGGCTAGAGGCTGTTTACCCCAGAGTTATTGAGTTCTTATAGAAGAGTTTTTCACAGAAGAGCTCGAAAAAAGTGTTATGCACTGGCAAAAAAGGCTCATCCCTGGTCACACGGAAATATTGACAGGCACACAGGACTTAAGCGAAGATTAACTGCAGTCACTGTGTGCATGCCATTTTCCCCATTTTCCCACATATGCACGGCACGTATTTGAATTATGTGTGCCAGTGAGCCCGGAAAATACACACACGCCAATGTCAGACGGGAAAAATATAAATAAATATATAAGCCCGACATTCTGAATATTTTCCCGCCATTTCACTGGGAAAATCGCTCATCGGCATCTTCTTTTTTTTGCACTGATACACAAATTAGTCTCGGCCACGCCCACTAATCATGGCGCCAAGGCAAGGCGGAAAATTGCTAGCCGATTAAATTGGCAATCAAGTGAAAAGACATCAGCAGGATGATTTTCACACAGACTGTGCGGCAAAGTCCTCTCATCTTCGCTGCCAGTAAATGGCATAATTACATGTAACTAGCCCAAAAAGTTTACATTTATGAGCGACTGGCGGCTGTCGCCCGTTACCTGTTACCTGTTCGCCAGTTTGCCAGTTTCCCAGTTACCTGGGGGATACGGCCCACATTCGGGCAGGGAAATGGAGAGTTTCCCGGGGTGCAGGCGGGAATAAGCCATCATCCAAGCGGTGCTATTTATGTCGCCATCAGCGTGGCGGAAAAATGGAGACCCAGGGAAAACGGCAAGGAAAAGCGGGGAGTTTTCGGCTGCCAAATGGCTGCGTTGACACAGTTTCCCTTGTCGCCCAGCTGCGTCTGATGCTTCCCCCCCCCCCCCCCCCAGCCATTTTCCAGCCCCTTCTGTTTGAGTATGTGTGTGGGGAAAATCTGCGGCAAAAAAGGACTAGCAAATTATGAATGAAAGATGGCGGTAAAGTTCGCTAAATGGCTACTGGAAAATGTAAAATACAGGGGTGCCAAAATGGGAAGGGAAAAAGTTGATGCTGCATTCTTTGGATAGTTACTTGCAAAGAAATAATTGTTTTTTATAGGCTTTTAAGGAATGTTTGGGAATAACTGTAAGTTGTAATTTGTAATATTTTAATAGTCCAAGAAACATAACAATTTTTAGCGAAAAAATGTTTAAGCATTCCAGTTTTGCGGTAAAACATTTTGTGAAGCAGCGGAATTTTATTAAATTCTTTATATTTAAGTGTGAAATAATTTACACTGTATCACAGGGAACAACAAATGTTGTTGCATTATATTTTAAGTGGGTGTAAAATTGTAGTGGGTTCATTAAAGTTTTAATTTCACTGGCTGAATGAATCCGAATCCAATTAAAATTTCTAATAGCGAAAATCAAAGCAGAGTTGAAAAGTAGCATCTGGGGATGACCTTTTTGCTCTTTGACCGTGTTTGCTGAGCACAGAGGTGATGGTAAAAGAACTCTCTGATTGCAATTGACCTCGAGACTCACTTATCCCCTATCTCATCGCGCTGACGGACATCCAGACACCATCTGGGCATATTTTAATTACCATTTAGGCAAACGTAAAAAGGAAAACCCAAAGAAAAAAGAGAACATTAAAGGCCAACTGCAGACGTCTCTGCCGCGCCCCTTGACCCCTGCCACGCCCCTTTGACCCCTAACCCAACGCCCGCTTTGAACTTCTGGCTCAACTTTCTGGCCGCCTGTCAAACGGGAGCGAGTGAAATGGCAACAGAATGCGGCAAATGTTGTTCGGAATATTAATTCGACTTTTTGGGCCGCATTTAAGGAGCTTAATGAACTTGAATCGCGGGATTTAAGCTAAAGCTACAGAGAAAATAATACATTTATATATTATTTCTAGCAAGAAAGGTAAAAATCTAAACAATGTATCTTAAAGATATAAAGGTAAATATTTCTGGACAACAGGAATGTAATATGTGGGTACGTTTTAAAAATCCTTTTAAATATTCCTGTGATTATATTGTCGTTAAAATATCATTAATTTTGTAATTCAAATAGTGTACCATCAGATTTCTTAGCCATATTATAAATTAATTCCAATAATTCATATATCCCATTTCTCATCGTGTACATAGCAATGTGTTTCATTTCGCCCCTCAATGTGGGGAGAAAGGTGGCAAAAGGACGGAGAACAAAAAACTTTTAATGCCGCATCGTTCTATCCCTCGGTCCCTTGATATTTGTTTATTCTTTGAACTTCTCCAATTAAAAGTAAATATTGTGAGTAGTTTATCTCGATTTCATTCACAGCCGGGCAGTTTGCATAGTTGGCAGTTTTAGCCCGGCTTCCCCCGACTTTCCCCTTTCCCACGATTAACAAGCCAACTTTGCTTGCATTTCGCACGCAATCTAAGACTGCGGCTTCGTCATTTCCACTCTGGAGCTTTCGCTTTGTATCCGCATCTGTATATGTATCTGTATCTGTGTGACTGTATCTGATTTACACTCGAATCCAGCTCAACTTCGGGGCCAGAAACTTTTCTTTGCGCGTAATTTAATGCCTTTTAAGGGGGCAGTGCGTCCAAAAAGAACTTTTAGTGTGCCAAAATGGCTAAAATTAAATCACAGCTGAAAGTTTTTATTTTTGGGAACCATATATCATTTGTCAGTTTCGCTTGGTTATAGAAATATAGATAAAAATTCTATAAAGACAATTCCTAAGACTTTACCACGATACCTAAATTATTTTGGATTCTGGTTCCAATCCTTAAAAGAAGTCCTTATATTCTTGGGAACCATAAAGAATTTTTTAAATTCACTTACTATAAGCTAGACTAAGATAACCAATAACCTACTTATATATAATTTTAGGTAATACCATTATCTTATTTCATCTGTTCCTAAAAAGTTATATTTTTAGTAAAACAATTTAAGAACATACCAAGCTTTTCTTTAGTTCCATTCAGTTTACCTTTAAGTCAAACATCGATATACAACATATACCATCGCAAAACTGAAGCACATATTCGGCTAATTAGTTTATCTCAAGATTGCAAAGTTCGCTCAAAGTTAGAGCTAAGAGAAAGTGAAAGTTTACTTACTATTCTCGCTCTTGTATCCCCCTCCGCCAACTCCCAAACAGGCACTCGAAATCACGTTGCAGCTAACAAAAACATGGAATAATTTTATTTACGATTCAACTTTGTAGTCACAAAATCATATGAACAACTGACTCAAAGAAAAAGGAGGGGAAGGCGGGGCAGATATGAGAGGTGCAAAGCGTAAAAAATCGTGGTAAAACTTTATGTGCGTATCCCTGAGATGATTTAAGTCAAGCGCCCAAGTTAAGTTTACTTTATGGCATAAAGAAAAAAACAGAAGCAGAGAATAAAATAATAAAAACGGAAATTAATGTAGAGCGGAGGGGCTAGAGGACATGTGTGCG